ACAAATTTTCTGTGAAATCCAGTAATGTACGGTAGTAGTTCATTGTTATATATTATGTTTGATAATTAAACATTATTTGTGATTTCACAAGCTTGGATTTAATGAGATTCTGGGTAAGTTTAAATAACCACTTCTGTAACTTTCAGTGTAAAAGAGGGGATTGGCTTTAGGCTTGAATATAAATGATCTCATGTATTGTTACAGGTATTGTAGCCCAGCATTAGCTAAACTGGTTTCTGTTTACTTGGATTTTCCCCGGAACCCTCCTCACCCCTGGCCTTCCATGCCCCATTCCTTCCTTGATTGCATTTAACTGTTCCTTCTCCATCTCTTGGCTTCCTTAATCACTGTATTTTTTTTTTTCGGTCTCCCTCTATACACCTGTTAACTTCTGTGGGGAGGGGGTGTTCCTTCTCTCTCTTGCCTCATAGTCTCTCCTTAGCACCAGAGCTGCATTGCCAACTCTCCTAGACCTTCCAGCTGTACCTTGGACGTCAAATCCAATATGTAATTAGATGAGGAGCTCCATCTCTCCCTTCCCACCTGCACCTTCTGCCAGATTCTCTTTCTCTGATCAGGGATTCATGCTCACCAGCTGTAGAAGCCTTTTTCAACTTCTTCCCTTTTCTCTCCTCCAGTTGTTGGGTTTTGTTACACCAAAATGGCGATCTCTCAAATGCAAAGTGCCTTGTGCATCTCTACTCCCACTGTCCAGTTCATTGCTTCATATTCTCCGATTGAATGATTGGAATTTCATTCCAAACTCCACATGCCAAACTCTGAGCTACTGATTTCCCACCCCAAACCTGTTCCACACACTATTGTCCTCATCTCAGTTCATGGAAACTCCATTCTTCCAGTTGCTTAGGCCAAGAGTCTTCCAGTCATCCTTGACTCCTCTCTTGCACATCTTACTGGCTGTATTTCCAAATTGTAGGCAACACCCAACCACTTCTTACCACCTCCACTACGACATCGTTAGTTACAGCCCCTGGATTATCCTCAGTGGTCTTCCTGCTTCTTTCCTGCCTTCCACGCCAGTCAGTTTCCAATAGGGCACCCTGAATAATCTCTTAAAAATATAAATCATATTATGTCCTTCCTCTACTCCAAAAACTTCAGCATGTCCCCATTTTGCTTAGAGCAGTAGTTCCCAATCAGAGGTGATCCCTCTTCTTCAAGGACATCTGCAATATCTGGAGAAGGTGTTGATTGTTACAATTGGAAGGAGGGTGCCACTGGCATCTAGTGGGTAGAGACCAGGGATCTCACTCTAAATTCTGCTCTACTTTCCATTGAACATATTTGAATTTAATTGTCTCTACAACTGACTTATGTATTAAATTGGCATTTATTCTCTCCCTCCCCCTACTAAAATGTAAGTTCCACAAGGGTAGAGACTTTATTTTGTTCTCCAATGAACCTAGAATGATGTCTGGCATTTAATAGACATTTGATTGATGTCTTGATGAATGAAAGAATAAAAGAGTGATGGGACTGAATGAAGAATGGTTGAAGCAATCACCTTGTCACTGACTTTCCTGGTTCCACTCTTTGCCCACTGCCATCCATCCTGCACTGTGCTGACAGTCCTCAGGAACCATCAGTGCTTCCTCCTGTACACATAGAATAATTCCTGAAAGCCTTCCAGTCTCTTGGGAATTTATATTCTCTGAATTAATCTCAAATTCCCATCTTTCTCTACCTTCCATTGTGTCCCCTGGGCATGTGCTTGGCCAACACCTTAACAAATATTCATAACAGACTTGGGATTATGGGAAGTTCAGATACATTTGGCTTTATTACAAAAAGAAGGATTTTGTTTTTGTCAAAAAACACAAAGTCATCTTTAGAGTCAGTGTCTCCTGCAGTGAGGTCAGCAGTACTTTTAGGAGACAAACGGAAGTTCAGACTTCCAGACCACTATGTGCAGCCCACTACTGGGTGGGCTTTGTGAGGAGGACAACCTAGAAGTTGAGGTTGACATCAGGCCCTTTGGAGCTCTTGTATCCTCCTAGTCCTAGAGAGCCAGTCTGGAAGTAGGCAAGAGACACTTCCTCTGGGTGAAGTGTCATCAGGTGCCAGGCTTGGTGTTGTGCACAGAGAGCACGATTGCAGAATGCAGTCCCCAAGTTATGGCCTCGACCTTGGGGACTGCTGCAACCTGCTGCACCAGCTCAGCCTTAGCTTAGGGCTTTCCTGATGGCTCTGGAGCTAGACCAAGGATCAGTTACCCAGACTGCTCTGGGCGCCTTGGTAACAGGTCTCAGACCCTCACATGGTCCCTTGTGCAGAGCCAAGAGCAAGCCCACTCATCTTTACAACTCCCTTGGTGGTCAGGCATGCTGTTGACCCTGTCTTATCACAACATTCTCTTTGAAGGACAGTTCCCTTCTGTTGAGTATACCTTGTTCTTGGCATTGGGTTCCCGAAAATCACTAAGTCTCTTTTTAAAAAAACCTAGGTTGTAAACAAGAAGGGAGTCCTTTTCCATACATTTGCCCACCTCCCCCTGACACTGGGATGATTACTGAATAAACCTAAGGTTCTACCTATTTCAACCTCAGTTGTCCTCTCTGGCCTTGGCTCCTACGGCACTCCTGCCTCCCTAACAATGTCTTCATCATTGCTGACATTACACCTATTCATCTCTCTGTTTTTGTGCCTCCTGTTAAAATAGCCTCTCTCCTAAGACACATGGTTCAGATATCACCCCCTTCTGTAACTTAGAGCCTCTGCCCTCTGTTCTCATTGAATTAAGTCAGGGCTGTCATCACATCTGACTTTGAGTAAGAAATACGTGTTTAATTCTGTTAAGTGAATAAACCATACTCAGAGGAAAAATATTATATAATGCCTCTTATATGAAGTATGTTGAATAGGCAAATACATAGAGACAGAAAGTAGAAAAGAGGCTGCTGGGGTTTGGGGGTCAGGAGGAATGGGTAGAGTTTATATGGAGGATGATGAAGAAGTTCTGGATATAAATGCTGGTGATGGGTGCAGGGCATTGTGAATGTATTTAATGCCACTTTAAAAGTGAAAATGAAAAATATTATATATTTTTTACCACAGTAAAAAAAGGTAACTTAAAAACCCCCAGAAGTTGTTTGGTTAGATAGTGTTTGTGGATTGCAAGCTTGTGGGAATGGTGGGAAAACAGGAGTTTTTCATCTTTACCCAGCACAGTGCTTTGGATGAGATGGTTGCTCATTGCTGCTTCAATCTGGGGATAGAAATCAGTAGAAAGAAGAACAGAATTAAGGTACATTTTGATATACCTGCTCCCTCCAAAATTGTTTATATACAAACACACACATAAAAGTACTATGAACAAAAGTGATTTTAACTTGGTTTGAGAATCGCCAACCCCTTTTGTCAGTGAAGACATACTTTAGGTGTCACTGCCCTAAAGACCCCAGGTAGGGAGTCGCCTGCAGGTGAGGAGCCTCTATGGGATTGAAAAACTTTCTACCGGTCCCCTTTCATGAGGTATTTAATTCAACTGTGATGAGCACTGTGACCAAGAAGAGGGCCCTGGGCTCACCAAAAGAGGCCCCAGTCTAGGGAGGCTTCTAGGAAGTGACATTGGATAGGGTCATCAAGGGTTGGGTAGGAATTAACTAGGCACTGAGACAGTAAGTGTGGTCCAGGGAAGGAGGATCATCTACATAAACACTGAGGCTAGACAGCAACAGCAGTTGGAAAAACCAAAGTCCATGTGGCTGGTGTGCAGAAAGGAGTGAATTGGACATGAGGCTGAGAGGTCAGGAGGGCTAAAGCATCCAGCTGTGCAGCCAAACCACACTCGTTGTTGCTCAAATGGTGACCTGAACAGTTGTCTGAATGCATCTCAAGTAATCACTCTAAGCACTTTGAAATCTATAGTGGAGTGAATGAATAATCAAGAAGAAAAGTTTGTTTTTCTTTCGTTTTTGACCTTTGCTTACTTGGTTCAGGGATAGCAGATTTCAGGAAAAGGAGATGAAGCATTGAGTGGGGAGTGGGGAAGAAGCATTCAAAGTTAACGTTACCATAATTTGAGAGCACTGTAGTGAATGCCTTGGAAAGCACCCACTTCTGAGACGCAACTGTGAACATGTGAGGGGTAGGGAGGTTATCAGTGCAGCCATTCATGAATATTCAAATTGAATCTACTTGTAGATTAGTTCAGGGTTAACCTTCTGCACTTTCCCCATTAACCAAGGGAAACAGTGTTACGCCTAAAATTGTCAGTCACAGGTTATAGCTAAGCTTAGATTTCAAAACGACCCATGACTGTTTTGGCAGAATGTGTCTTGGGTTGTTTTTTGTTTTTCTAAGAAATCCAGATGCAGATTGCTTTTTTTTATTCAGGCTGCCTGGAGGGAGCTTTAATCTTTGGTTGCTTCTCATATATAAATATCTTGTTGGACAATTTGGGTATCAGGAAGTGTATATCTTTTTAAATTTTTAAAAAATATATCTTTATTGATTTCAGAGAGAGGAAAGGAGAGGGAGAGAGAGAGAGAGAAACATCAGTGATGAGAGAGTCATTGATCGGCTGCCTCCTGCGTGCCCCCAACTGGGGATCGAGCCTGCAACCCGGGCATGTGCCCTGACCGGGAATCGAACCCCGATTGCCTGGATCCTAAGTCGATGCTCAGCCACTGAGCCACGCCTGACCAGGCTATCTTTTTTAGTTTTAAGAAACTGTACTGTAAACAGTCTATTCATTCTTGTGATTCAAGAGGATTGTTTCTCTGGACCTCTAATATTTGCCAACCCCAATGGAAAGGCAGGGCGCCTGAGTCAGTCATCCAGCCCCTGCCAGTGAGGTGACCAGTGAGTTTGAGGAACAAAAGTAGATAAACTGTTGGCTCTCGTTTGGGCCTCCCTCATCCCCACAGTGTGTACTGATAGTCTGGATGTTGTGGTCTGACTTAGAGGATTCCATGTGATCTTCCATCTCTACTGTTTACAGCTTTTCCTCCTGTGTCCTCCTGCCTCTGGGTTATTAGGTTCCTGCAAGTTCTTTGCCAACTCACCAAGACTTCAAGCCAAAGATGGTAGTGATGAGTAACCTGAGGGTCGTCCTTCAAGCCTCTCCATGCAAATCGCTGTGGGGAAGATTCCAGATTCTGAGGTCCCTGCCAGTGAGGCCCTGCAGCCTCTACACCTGCACTTACAAAACCCGGAACCGAGCCTGTGAGTACCCTGCTGCTGGAAGGAGAGCAGGAGGCTTGTTTCATAACGATCACACGTATTAATTAAGGATTTGTGGATAGGATGTCAGTGGCTTTCCAGAGTGGGTCTAGATGCCTTAAGAACTGTGAGAATTTACTAGTTGTTTCTCTATCTGTCCTCTAAAAGAAATGTGGAAACTTCTTTTTGTCCCAGCTTTACTGAGTTATAATTGACACACGACACGTGTAAGTCTAAGGTGTACCCCGTGGTGATTTGATACACGTGTATGTTGCAAAATGACTACCACAGTAAGGTTTGGAAAGCCCTTTTCTTGACCAGTTTTAACATGTTAAAATGATGTCATGCAGAAATAGGACAAGGGAGATATCCCAGTTCCAAATACTTTGGAACCAGTTTTTTATTGTTTCTTGTTAGCAATTGTCTTTTCATTATGGTTGATCCACAGACTGAATGATTTCTGTGGATCTGAACATTCTGGAAGATGCATGTTAAATGTTTTCCAGCAGTTCAGAACAGTAGCATCACACTCTGGAATACTCTTTCCTGAGTTCCATACTGTAGTTACTTCTGGCTGAGCAACTTGTCAAGTGTGTGTTCTGCTGTAAACACAGCAGATCAAGTGAGGAGCAGGTCTTCACTGTAACCTCTCGCATGTCATGCCCCTGCTTTATGGCCAGTTACCATCCACGTCTCTATGGGGCAGGATTCTCTACTGTGGCACCACCGACAGGGGGTGGATCATTCTGTGTTGTGAGGGACTGTCCAGTGCACTGTAGTGTGTTGGATGGAATCCCTGACCTCTACCCAATAGATGCCTGCAATATCCCCTCTGAGCTGCAGTAACCAAAAATGTGTGCACACATTACCAAATGAGCCTGGGGGACAGGATTGTCCTGGTTAAGAACCGTTGAGATGATGGGAGAGGATAACTTGTGTATCTGTGGAGAGATGGGTTGGAGTTTGTGCAGAGATGAAATGAATAAGTATATCACTGAAGAGGAATTTTTCATTATTTTAAAGGGGTTGACTCAGAGTTTTCAAATGTTAGCTTGCTTCTAGGTCTGGGTTTTTCTACTTTTTCTCTTTGGATTTAGTCTCTTTTGACCCCATTTGCACATAATAAAAAAATAGGTAAGAAAGGAATGCTTGTAAATTAGGAATGCGAATCTAGCTAAACCCAAGGACTTGAAACTGCTCCATAAAGATATTTTTATTGAGAATGTATTTTGTTTCCTCCCACATTGGCCATGTTCTCATTAAAATGAACTGCCCAGAGTTTAATACAGTTCTGGTTGCTGGGTGTGGCTTCCTACCAGCAGGCCCACATCCTACCCAGACTGGCATATTCTCAACACTGGCACTGTGAGGCTTAAAGTGGAAAAAAAAAAGTTATTTATCTAGTTTATAAATTTTTACTTTTGTAACAGAAAGTTGAAAGGCATAAGTTCATAACACTGTCTGGTAGTTTAAAAATGTGAGCCACAAAAACAAGCTATGTAGGCAATTCTATATTTTCTAATAATCACACTTAAAAGTGTATGTCTGTTACATCTCAGTGAAACTGGAGGGAGTAAATTTTGTTCATTTGTGAAATTCTACTAATATAGAAAATATAGGTGAAGTATAGTATATAGGTGAAATTAATTTTACTAATGTATTTTATTTACCCCAATATTTCTAAAATATCATTTTAAAGTAAGGTGAATGTAAGAATTATAAATGAAATATTTTACTTTCTTTGTTTTATACTGTCTTCAAAGTTCCTCAATGTTTTACAATTACAGCACATTTCAATGTAAACTTATCACACTGGGCAAGGGGGTACCATGTTAGACAGTGCAGGTACAGAGAGCAGTTGCCTAGGAGTAACAGCAGATGAGACGACATTTAATGTAATGTGGGGCTGTCAGGGAAGGGGCTTGAACTGACCTTGAGAGCCAGTAGGATTTTCAGGAATGAAAAAGAAACAGGAAGATGTGATCATGTGAACACAGGAGGTTTTCTGGGTATACCTGCTTGTCTCGTTGGAGAGACTGTGAGCGAGAGGTAAGGTTACAGAGCCTTGGTGTCAACTTGTTTGGTTTTCTCTATCAGTAAAATAAGCATTAAGTGCCTCCTTTGTGCCTGGTACCAAGTTCAGCCCTGGACCTGTGGAGAAAGTACAGGACTCAGGCCCTAGGACTTAGAGTTGACACAAGCCCCTTGAGCAGATAAAGTAAAGGCACATTGCATGAGACATAGTAAGGTGCTAAACGGCGTGAGAGTGAAGGCAGTGTGAGTTCAGCACAGGGAAAGGTCAGAGTGGTTGGAGAAAATGTCAAGAGCAGAGTTTGGGAAGATGGAGTAGAGGGGAGTGACAGGAGGTAAAGCAACCAAGAGACATGTTATGAAGTCTGGGCTTTAGAGAGCTGAACTAGGCTGCTCGTCATGGGCGAGGTGAGAAAGAGATAAACCTAAAAGATTTTTAAAGAAAAAAATAATGTGGTCAGTAGGGTAATATGAAATAAAGATAAAAGGGGAATGAATCCTCCCCAGTGATGGTCTTTATTCTATTCCTGCAGTCCACAGGCGATTGAAAGTCAGCTCTGTCTGGTTTACAGAGTGGCGGGGAGACAGATAATTACACGCATATGTATAAAGGAAAAATTATTTTCATTCTACCCTTCTGAATTCTTGGCTGAGCCCCTCCCCATAATAAAGGACAGACTAATCAAAGAAAAACAAACAGAATTTTTAAAACATGGATACCAGGCCAAAAGGGGGGCGGGGAAGGATTTTAGGAACAAGTTAACATACAAAGTGGTTTTACATAAAACATCAATTGTCTTATATATTTTGATAAGCAGCAGGACCAGCTTCATTTGTAACATAGTTTGTGGCACTGGAAAAAAAGGATTCTGTGATTGTTTAAGTGAATTATGTTATAAATACAAAGAGAAAAAAAATACTTAAAAACATATTCTCTAAAAAACAAAATAACATGGATACCTCCTGTACACATAGGAGAGACCCAGGAAAACTGAGTAACTCCTGGAAATGGCCCAAGATACCACCTTGCCCAGACCAAATTCTCTCAGTCTTCTCCACAGACTCGGGGTGTTTATAGTCTAAATGTCCCCTTTTCATAGTTGTTTCCTTATATGCTCCTATGGATAAGCCACTGTTGCAACCCTCAGCAGCTGAGCTACTGAGTGGTTATCAATGAGAACAGATGAGATGACATCCTGACACAGTTTATGTCACTCATATCAAAACAACCTCTAAAAACAACTTCATTCTTAGATCCAAACAACTTCAATTTTTGTCATAAACAAGATTTTAAATCCTGTCAAACTGATACACAACAAGTGTGAATTCTCAAGTCCCCAGCCACAAGTCTGAATATCTCAGAGGTGTTTCTAGAAGTTTAAAAACAACACACAATCAAATACAGCTTTTTATCCCAACAGTAGCAGTTCAATACTAAAATTAAAGGGCGTATGTCAGATAAGGCACTACAAGACAACAAAAAGGGTGGAAGATATGGCTCTTGCCTGCAAGGAATTTGCATTCTAATCCAATTATAATATGAATATATTGTACCAATTCATATACATTTTCCATTTTAGATTTCTGAAAGTTCTTGTTCTTCAAGTTTTTTTGTATTAAGGGAGAAAACCCAGAACATTGGTTTCAGACCTCTCTAGAGATGAGAGTACTGCATTATATGAATAAATTAGAAAGACAAAAAAGAATACTTTGAGTTTGCCTTTGCTTTTAGCTCTAGACCAAGATTTCTCTACTTTGGCATTGCTGACATCTGGGGCCAGGTAATCTGTGCATTATGTGATGTTTAGCTACATTCCTGGCCTCCACCCACTAGATGTCAGTAGCACCACCCTCCTCCAGTTATAACAACCAAAATTGTATCTGGACATTGCCAGATGTCCCCTTGGGGCAGAGTTCTGTTGAGAACTACTGGCCTAGAAACTGCCTGGAGAGCGTTATGTCTATACTGCTGGAGCACCATTGCCCAAAAGACAAGGTTAAGATCTTACACTTCCAGCTTTGGGCAGCTACCTCAGAAAGAAGAATGTTGCCTATGTAAGACTAAATCAGAGGCAATTTCTGGTTTTTGTTGTTTTGCTTTTTAATGAAAAGAGGAGTGTCAGGGACCCTGCTATACACAGGGAAATTTGACTGGATAGCAGCTGCCTTGTCACTTTCTCAAATCCTTAGACTCATTCGTAGCTGTGGGGTGAAGTGCAGAGGGTCATTAGTAACGATTTCTCTCAATTCATATTTCTTTTAGTTTTCCTGTTGATTTTGGTTCTACCTACCCATGGTGCCTCTAAAGGGCAGAGAGCTATAACACCCCCAATTATATATGTGGCTTCAATCCATCTTGCATTGAAGTCTGAGCAGGTCTGTCTGTGTTATCAGGAAGTCTTCTGAGATTTATCAGGGACTTGCCACAATGACTGTTACCAAACTGAAGGGGTTCATTTGCCTACATGCATCAAAGCCCAATAAAACATGAACAAGAGTTTGCAGCAAAGAAAGTAAAGGTTTATTTAAGGAAATGGCACCAAGCCTGGAGACACAGGTGAGCTAATGCTCAAAGACCTGGTTCCCTGATGGCCTGCATGAGGACAGATTGTAGAAGGCAGAGGTGGGGAATGTCCAGCCCTCAGGCCATATACGGCCCTCGAAATCATTTGGTCTGGCCCTGCCAAGGCAACCACAGTTCCAGCCACATTAGGGGTGAGTTAAATGTTTGACCAAATATAGCAGGCTAATTTTTAAGTTGATAATTTTGTATGGCCCTCGAATGATGTTATAAATATCCAAATGGCCCTTGGCAGAAAAAAGGTTCCCCACCCCTGGTATACAGGAACAATCATTAATCATGATGACTAAGGGAACTGGAGTTGTGGGCTCTGCTTACTAGTTGGGGCCAGGATAGGGAGTAGTGATCATTGTATCAGGTCCTGATGTCAGTCATGGTGTCATTCTGTCCAGTTTTATGAGAGTGTGGTCAGTAAGGACATTATGCTTTCATGGATCTGGGGCTGAACATAACTGAAGACAAGATGTTATCTTCAGTTTGAAACTGTTCCCTTGATCAACAGACCTGAGATTTTGTTCCTAAGACCATATGATGCTAACCAGAACGTGATGCTCTAAGGGCTTAATGATTAAGGGAGTGGGTGTGCAGTGTATCATGGTGCTATTAGACTGCACAGAGCTAGCTTGAATTAAGGAAAAAGTCGTATTAAAGAAGTGAAGTTCCTGTGCAGTTACAAAACCTGGTGCTTGAATCTTTGGTAGAAAAATCAGCCTCAGTGATGTTTCAGTGCCCACGTGGGACAAACTGTGTATGTACACTTAATGTATAATGTCCATAGCTATTCATGTTACAAACAGAACTCCAAGAACCTTAGCAATGGTATAAGAACCCAGGTTTTGCAGAATGGCAGCCTAATCCTCAAAGCTTGCTTACATAAGAGGTGAACTCAGCATATACACTTATAAATAGGACCATATAGTTCCTCCAGTGGGATTTATCTCTCTCTGCTTCTCTTTGCTGTGACTCAAGAAGTATTTGAGTCTGTCCTTAAGGGCTTAAATATCTCTCTGCCCTCCATTTTCTTCTTTCTTCTGTTGATATGACAGTGTAGAAGAGGAAAAATAATTTTTACTCTACCCTTCTAGGTTCAGGCAGAGACCCACCCCCCTCCCATAATAAAAGACAGATCAACAGGAGAAAAAACAAACAGAAGTTGAACAACGTGGATACCTCCTGTATCCATGGGAGAGACTCAAGAAAACTGAGTAACTCCCCCAAATGGCCCAAGCCACCACCTTAAATACTGTCTTCAGCTCAAGACAAAAGAAGATGGGGCGGGGGTCTAGTGTGGGAGGTTATCAGGCAAAGCACAGTAAACAAGGGCAAGGTGGTTATGTCGATTTAGGTCAGTGCCTTCTCCAGCGATGAGAGTCTCTACAGATTTAGTCTTCTTTCAGGTACGAGAGGGGAGACACCCTTACAAATGGAGATTCCCTTACAAATGTAAATGTCTCTTACAAGATGGGAACTTTTACTGGGTTTTCAGAGCTTCTCATGTGTCAGCTGTTTCTTAAAAATATTTAGCCTAAAATAATCCTTATGCCAAAGAGATATTAGGGTGACTCACTCTGCTGTCCATCAACAAGGCCCCCAAACCTTGAACATCTTATATATCTCAAACTAAGAAGTTACTCCTTTTCTTCCCAGAATCATCAGTATTTTTCGTAATTTTTCTAAAACGCTAGAGTGTGCTCCAGTGTCAGCTGGAAGCCTATAATATTACACTATGTGTAAGGATTCAAGAAATCTTCAAAACGGCAAGCAAAATTATAGGCTGCATGATGCAAGTCTTTATTTCTACTAGCCAACCAATTAAAACCTTAATGGTTGATTGAACATTTGCTTTCCAAAAATTCTTTCTCCTCTTTCCCCATTTACTTTGTTGAAAATATGTGCGTTATTGAAATTTTCATTAATATGTCCCTGTTTTTAAAACTAGTTTAGCAGTCTGTTCTCTGTATCTATGAATCTCTTTCTATTTTGTAAGCAAAACAACAGTCACAACAAAAAAATCCTCCTAGACACTGACAACAGCATGGTGATTATCAGAGGGAAAGGGGGTGGGGAGGTAGAAGAGGGGAAACGGGGGATAAATGGTGATGGAGGGAGACTTGACCTGGGGTGGTGAACACACAATACAATATACAGATGATGTGTTATAGAATTGTACACCTGAAACCTATGTAATTTTATTAACCAATGTCACCCCAATAAATTCAATAAAAATAAATAAATAAAAATACAATGGGCATGCCTCCCCTGCAAAAAAACTAGTTTAGCAGGTGGGGCTCAGGAAATTATCAATCCTAATCTCCATGCATTTTTCCTGTTATCATAAGACGGTCGCACTTGGTTAGGTGAAATTAGAAGGTTGACTGAGAGGCTTCAGTTTGACAAGACATCAGAGGCTGCTCCTCTGCAAAGGGCTTCCTCTGACCTGCCCATGTCTGTGTCCCGTGCTTTAGTCAGTCCATGAAGTCCCTAACTGGCTAAGTCCCGAGACTTCTAGTTTCCAGTAGCCTTTGCAGGCTCTCCACAAATAGAACTGCCTGATGCGTGATCCCAGATAAGGGACATCTGATGGCAGTCCCGATGTGCTTTCTCCTAGTGCATCCACTCTGGGAGAGAATGGACCTGGTCCCAGGGGGTGAGCGCCAGTCGCCCATCAACATCCGGTGGAGAGACAGTGTCTATGATCCTGACTTAAAACCGCTCACCATCTCTTATGACCCGACCACCTGCCTACACATCTGGAATAATGGGTACTCTTTCCTCGTGGAATTTGAAGATTCTACAGATAAATCAGGTGAGAGCCAAACTGGTAGTCTCATCTGGAGTTAGAGGCACAGTTTCATGTTGGCACAAGCTATATCACACTGTCTCCATGGGAGCACGGAGCTCTTTCGTTAGCAATATGGGACTCAGTGGATTTACTTTTTCAATGTATGGAAATAGTCCCTTCTAGTTTTTATGCTCATTTTCTTCTAGTATGGGTAGTATTTTAATTACTAAATAAGCATATGTCTAAGTATAGATTCATAATTGATATAGAAGATAGGGTGTGAAATTAAAGCTGTGTCCAAAATTTATTTTGTGTGTGCTTATGAATGTGTACTAATTTTCTTTGCTTGCTGACTTTACAAGATACTTTTATGTGAACAGCAATACTGTTTAATCAGATTTAACTTATCAGATTTTAATGCCTTTGTAATGGTGAAAGGAATATTCATGTGTGCATGCGATTTTAGTCTTCATATTAGAAAAATGGAAACTCACCTTCTGTTAATTTTAATTAAGCAATGTTACCTAATTTAAAAGAAACACAATTTTAAAAGATTTTAAAATTCAGACATTATATTGCATTTGAATCTTTTTTTCCTTAGCCAGATATAAACTAATCTGAATGATTTCAAAGTTTACCTGAAACTTGAGAATGTGACGAATTCTATATAGGTTTCATTTTTTGTTTTGTTTTCAAGCTGAATTTGATGGTCTCAAATAGTCCTAAATATATTGTAATAGTGGGTCGAGGCCAGGCATGCTGCTAAAGATCCTACAATAGACAAGACAATGTTCATGAAGAGTTATCCAGCGTCAAATATCAGTAGAGCTGAGATGGAGAAATCCTGATCTAAAGGAAATTAATTTCCTCTTATGGTTATGAGGAAATCAGTCTGTGGAAGTGCTCATAAATGAAGAAAAAGTGTAACTTAAAACATAAATATAGGTGTTCACTCCTGTGTTTATCCTGGCTCTAGGATTCTCAACCATATCTTGTTTTTCCTTGCATTTTCCTAGTGATGCTCTGATGCCTAGACTTGGTCCTCTAACCCAACTGCAGGCAGATTGATCCTGCAGCGGGGTTCCCCTCTCTCTGGTTCTCTTCCCTCTGACATACTTCTCTGCTGTGATTCAGAAAGTTTTCGAGTCTGTCCTTCAGGGCTTAGGTCTCCCTATGTTATCCCCCATTTTCTTCTTTCTCCTCTATGGTATTGCATGATCCCAAAACCCTCATTTATATTTCTGAAACTAGAAATTACTTATTTACATTTCTCAAACTAGGAAATACTCCTTTTTCTCCAGGTTCATCAGTGTCTTTCTTAATTTTTCTAAACCCTAGAGCATGCCCCCATTTCAGCTGGAAGCCTATAATATTACATTTTGTATAAGGATTTCAGAAATCTTTATAACAGCAAGCTAAAGTCCTGTGTTCCAGATGACCATTTTGTCCTATGGTGAGCTCTACTTCTCTACCTTAGAGCTCTACCATTACTCCTGCCAGAGCCAGAGTAATGGACAGACCCAATCTCCAGAACACCAGCTCTCGTACGTTCACTCTAGATGCATAGCAGTCCTTCAGTTAATTAGTATCAGTCCCAGCTAGGTCCTTGGCAACCTTCTTCCTTCTGAGAGTTATTGGTGGGGTGCTCTCTGTGTCCCCACCTGTCATTAGTGCAGGCAGGCTTCTCGGGGTGCCATGGGAATAACAATATCCTGATGCCCCCACAGGAAGATGAGGTATTGTGGAAAGCTTTATTGATGAGGTGATATTAAGGGGTTTCCATTCCAAGGTCCCATCTCCCTCCAGTCCGCCATGGAAAAAGTCCCATTTTGTCTTCAGCAGAGCTAAGATCAAAGCCATTGCCCAGCGTTTCTGCTCCATATTTGTACAGTCCAGTACAGCATCAGGCTAGCTAAGCTTGTGTTCCCAGCTGCAGTCCATTGCATGTGGGGCTGGCCATGCGGCTTCTAGGCCCCCATGGCTATGGAGGCACCCAGTGTGTGTGGGCCACGGAGTAAGCGAGAAACAGGAGCGCAAGTGGCAAGGGGAACAAGAGAGAATTATTTGTCTGGGGGATTTTACCCTTCCAAGATTTTGCATGCTTGCAGTGGATCCAGCCCATAGCCAATTATCACTGTTCCCAGGTTAGACTGAGAGGCAAACGCCTTCCGTACATCACCCCGACTTCACTGTGTGTGCACCTGTCTTACCCTTTGTTGAATCCCTTCCCGCAGTGATCTGCAGGGAATGCACTGGTGGTTCCCTGGGGAGTGTGAAGCTGTAGCTCCCTGGTGAAGCTGCCCAGATGACCATGCTTATAATGTCTGGCCTTCCCTTTGCTTTCTTCCTATTATTAATATTAATAAACTAGGTAGTTACGACAGTAACATTAGGAACCTAAATGGTGATCAGCCTTCTAATGACCTTGACAGTCTAGGGACTATTGCCAATATATTATTGCTTTATTGAGTTAAAAATCTTAGGAAGTTGTTTAATGAATTTCTTAATCAAGTGAGTTAATCCCAAGTTCATTCAAGGCAAATAGCTTTTTGTTATATTTTTTAGTCATGCTTTTCTCATTTGAACAATAGATTCAAGAATTTTCATCCACCCATTTGCATGGGAAATCTCATATGAAAAAACAAGCGACCAACATTTTCCTCATAGCAGCTCTCCAGATACCTCCAAACACAACAAACTGAATCATTTCTTAATCTTACCTCCCCTAGATGAGGCAGTCTCACACTCTTTTTAGAAAATGCAAGAAAAATTATAAAGAGGTTGCTAATTCTTCACTTGTTTTGTCAGGAAGGACCAAAATAGGTAACTCCTTTTCATTATGCTTTAATAATTATTTTCTTTAAGATACCATTAATCTTTAATAAGTACCTAACTCTCTCTCTCTTTTTCCACATTTCAGCGACTACATCCTATTTCCTACTTATTCTTCACTGCTCTTTCTCCATGCTGTTTCAAAATAATCAATAGCATTCAAAGAGGAAGAAAGAATGAATGAACATAAAAAATAAAGAAAAACAAAAGAAAGCAAAGACATCCTAGAAAGCAAGAAAGGCGAGAAGCAACTGATTCTAGAAAAGAAAGGATCTAATATCAATGTCTATAAATTTCCTCAAAAAAAGTAGAAAATGCGGCAATAGTGTGCTTTACGAAGAACTGAGGGTAAAGTGTGCAAGGGAAGCAGCTGGGGAAGGTATGTGACAAAAACAAAACATACCAAGCCTTATGGGATGCAGCAAAAGCAGTGCTTAGAGGGAAATTTATAGATGAAAATGCCTGTACTGGAGAAGAAATTTCTCAAATCAATAACCTAGCCTTCTACCTTAAGAAAGTAGAAAGAGAAGAGCAAACTAAACCCAAAGCAAGCAGAAAGAAGGTAATAATAAAGAGCAGAAATTCGTGAAATCAAAAGTTGTTTTTTTGGAAAGACCAACAAAATTGACAAATGTTTAGCTAGGTAGACCAAGGGGAAAAATAAGAGAAGATTCAAATTACTAAAATCAGGAATGAAAGAAGGGACATCACATCACGACCAGCTTACAGAAATTAAAAGAATAAGAGAAGGTATGTGAGCATCTCAGACCACTGCCCTCTGCTGGGTATTGTTTTGTTATTTGGCTCCCCTGAATGGGACACAGTTATTTATTTTAATGAGTGCATATGAGGGGTGCAAAATATTGTAGGAAAGGGCAGTGAATTATATCTGGGCTGAGTCCCATGGGTGATTCCTGTAAATTATCACCTCCTCTGAAATTACTCTCATCGGCAGTATCACCAGGCATTAAAGAGGAGAGATGAGTCCTACTGTTCTCTTAAGGATGCTTCCTGCCCTGTTTGGCTTTACTTACTTTATACTTTTAGGAGCATCACCAATGAATCTACCAAGAATGCTTTCACAAACATTTTAAGTTCTCCTACCCTATTTTTAGTCCTACATCTATGTTTTTTTTGGGGGGGAAACATGTAATGATTTTTTGTAAATTTACTTAGTGGTGCAACCATCATTACAATCCTATTTTAGAGTGTTTCCATCATCCCCAAATGTTTCATGCCCATTCTCGCATTTTCTTTGTATGGGGCTTGTGAATTACTTTCCCTTCACCATCCCTTTCTCTGCTAGCTCCCTCACCTCTGCTTCAAAAGCAAAAGAAGGGAGTGACCATTCCATAAGCTGCCTACCGGACACTGTGCTAGGTGTTTTATATTTGTTAATCTATTTTTTACAAATTTAACCTCTTCTCATCTTAGAGCACAGAAAGAACAAAATATCAACAACCTCAAATAAATAAGTATATAATTATTTGATATATCTTAATGACTGCTCTGCTTTCTAACTCACTATCTTTTGTCTCCCTTCTCTGCCCCGTTTCTTGCCAACTTTACTTGCCCCTCTCTCATCCATACATCTGCCCTGCCCAGTCCCACCCCTTTCCTTGCTCTTGCTGAGGTTACCAGTAATGTTTTAACTAACAAACCCAATGAACACTTTACAGTCTGTTTTTTTAGTTCTTAGTTTCATTGAGGATCTCCTAAATGTCAGGCACTGTGCCAGGTTCTCAGAATAGAAAGCGGAAGGGATGGTGTTGCCTTTAAGGAGTTTGCAGTGTGGTAGGGAAACAGAACTGGTGGGACCATCTAAAGGGGGCGACCGTTTCTCCTTTCCAGCCTATTGTTGCCAATGGGAGCGTGTCCCCAACATGGTCAGGGCATCTCATTTTCAAGTTAAGTTGGAAGTGGGGATTTTTATGTGAAAGCATCCAGATTTAAATGTTGGCAATGAATTTAAAAATGTCTTTAGTATTATGTGGGTGAATCCAAACGCACCTGAAGACCAGTTCTGTCCCACTCCCTTGAAGCCACCCATTGGTGACATCTCCTCCCTGCCTGGCTCATCGTCTTTGGAGGAGACACACAGTAAGTGTCCAGGAAATGTTGCCAGCGTGTTTCTGGGGATAGGAGAGAAAACCTGGCCCTCTCCTCTGCCCTGGTCACATAACTTGGGACCAGAACTTCAATTGAATTCAACAGATTAAATTGAGTATTTGCCAAAGTCATGCTTACAATATGGAGTTGGCATAGAAAAATAAGAATTGTGGGGAGGCATTTTATTTTTATATCAGTACACTTTAGTACCATCCTCTTATTAATTTAGTGAATCATGTGGTATTATTCTCTGCACCTCCCCTGAGCCCAAAGAAAAGTAGTCTTTGGTGTCTTTGCTCATCTCTTACAAAACTCTTTCTTTTTAAAAAGGAAGTTAGGTAAAATATTTTCAAAAGCAAGTACAATACATAGCAGACCATTGTAAGACATATCCAGTGTATTTGGTCATTCACGTACATAAAATTCAATGAATGATGTGATAAACGCTAAAGATCATTAAGATAGATGAGGTGGATGGTTTTTGTGTTCTTGTATTGGTTTAACCATGGACAGACATTACCAGGGTCTGATAAGATGGAATAAATGAGGAACTAAGTTGCTTTAGCAAATACAAGCAAAAGAAAAAAATTAGCACCATCCAAAACCTGAGGAAGGGTGACTTAGAAAACTCACATACAAATATTTTACCTATACTATAATGTATTGATTTCACTCATTTTAGAAAACTTTAGTCTAAAAAGGTATTTATTATCCAACATGGTGAAGCTAGTGGTGAAGTGTATAGATGACTCACATTGTTTACTCTGTCCAAGGAGAGATGGGTGATAATTTTTAACTTGCAAATTTCCCATTCCATTTCAATGAAAGGGAAAGAAACTCTAGTATCTGCGAAAATGGAAAAGCAAAGTATCAGTGCATAAAAATTAAATAGAATGTCTTTTGTCCCCATATTTCAGTTTTATGAGATTGGGTTGGATAAATATGCTAAGAGAAATATGCATTTTACTGTACCCACAAAAATGGTCACAGTAAATGTAGAATATAAGAATGTCAAGAACTGGTCTTTAACAATTGCATGTAGCTTGGAGTCTAGTTAAATCTCAGTGTCATTCAAAGTGCAGGTCTCCCCCTTAGACATGTACTAACTGTGGAAATCAAATTTATAAACACTTGTGTACAATACAGTGTGCTCCATTTTTTAAAAATCTTTATTGATTTCAGAGAGGGGAAGGGAGAGGGAGAAAGAGATAGAAACATCAGTGATGAGAGTGTTGTTATTGATCGGCTGCCTCCTGCACGCCCCACACCGGGGATCGAGCCCGCAACCCCGCAAGCCGGGCCTGTGCCCTGAACGGGAATCAAACCGTAATCTCCCGGATCCTCGCTTGGTGCTCAGCCACTGAGCTGCGGCCAACCAGGCTGCAGTGTGCTCCATTTAAGACAGTTCATATAGACGGTTCACCCACAGATTTGCCCTTTCCCCCATCTTCCACGGTGTGAAAAGGTGTCCCCTAAATTGTTGAATGTGCCATTCCAGTGATCAAGGGAGGACCCCTGGAACATAACTACCGATTGAAGCAGTTCCATTTTCACTGGGGGGCCGTCGATGCCTGGGGCTCCGAGCATACCGTGGACAGCAAATGTTACCCGGCAGAGGTATGTTGAGAAGCTCGGGAATAGTGACAACTGTCAAGAAGCGGGGATAGTTCTGAGTTTCTAGTTCGAAGAAATTATCAGGAAAAATCAGGTGATTCCTCTAAATCTAAATAGTTCTCTCAGGGGCATATTAGATTATTCCCATTTATTACATGTGCCCTCATCTCAAATAATATAGTGGAAATGAACCTTAAGGTTCTAAAATGAAATTCATTCAGAATTCTAAGCTAAGTCAAATCATAGGCTAAAGTGAAAACCCAGGCAACAGTGCAGGGCCACCACATCCAATTAATCCAAGTGAGAGATGTTGGGAACCTAAATGAAGGCTGCAGCAATAGACATAAAGAAAAGAGCATTTCAAACTTAACCAGCGTTTCTAAAATAAGAACAACAGGACTTGAGGCAGGGTCCTCTTTAGGAGAGGACAGGAAAGGAAGGTAACCATGACCCTGAGGGGCTCACTTGGGAGGCTGGGTAATGAAGCGCTCAGGAATGATGGTGAGGAATGATTTGTCGTGAAATATAGGCAGCCCGTAAGCACCTAGAATTTCTTCTCACTACTTTCCCCCTAATTTAGTTTTCTGTTACCTTAAAAAGAAACACATTTAACTGGTTCTCCCTCAAAGAAATGTGTCTTCAACTCCTGTCTAATTCGAATAGGGAGAATCTATTTCTCTCAAGATAAACATCTCTCCTTTATATGCAAATAGATTTGGGATATAAGAGTTTCATGCAAATCAGGGCAGAAATGGATGAATATTATTCACTCTGCTATATATATTTTCTTTTATTTTTCTCCCCAAATAAATGTCTCTATTCCAAAGTAATATTAATTTCTGCAGCTGCATACATTTCTTCTCGTTCTTTACGTCCATCTTGCATGCTTTTCCCAGTGGCTTTATTTTGGGTTAGGAAACAGGTTAAAATATCATATTGAATAAGGCTGTCTATTTCTGAGTGATCCTATGTGGTCTTGTGTGAAACCATCTTTTAATGGTGTTTCAGCTGCACCTGGTGCATTGGAATGCAGTCAAATTTGAAAACTTTGAAGATGCAGCACTAGAAGAAAATGGTTTGGCTGTGATAGGAGTATTTTTAAAGGTAAATAAAAAGTTGCAAACTTTAATTGATGTCTAGCATTCTAGGATGAAAACATGGAACACTGCAATACTAAGTTCTAAGAATATTGGGATAAAAAGAAACTCGTTAAAATACAAGATTATTATGAATATATTTTAAATGGTGTAAAAATACATGGTTCAGTAGAGTAGTCACAAGCCCCAGGTGGCAACTGAGCACTTGAAATGTTACTTTGACTGTGAAACAATTTTTAATTTTAATGAACTTAAATTTCAATTTAAGAACTAGTTAAATGGAGGGGCACCTTTTCCTGCAGGCACGCCGACCGTCAGCAAACAGACTGCTCATTTGTTCTGTGTCTAATTTAATTCAGTGATGTTTATAACGTTCTAAATTACCGTTTAAGTGTAGTTTAAGTAGTGTGGTTGATTTTTTTTTTTTTTTTTTTTTAATCCNTTATGTAATCACCAGGTGGTTAATTTTAATTCACATTCTATTACAGTTTCAAAAGTGAGATGTCAATTGTTTTTAATATTTTCTCATTGTTTCTTCTTTAGCTGGGTAAAAATCATAAAGAACTACAGAAATTGGTGGATATATTGCCATCAATTAAGCATAAGGTAATTTTTTTTTCCCAAAAGCACTTGAAATATATTTTATGTTTCAGTCTCAGAGTGGAAATACTAACAAGGCCCTTTGAATTGGGAAATGTAATTAATCTCAGTGTAATTCAGGTTCTCTTTGAAAGTCCCCTAGACGACAACTTGGCATTTATGATGCTTATATGCTGAGTGCACCTCTGGCCCTGTGACACCTTTCAGGGGACAGAAGGGATTTCATTGGTGGGCATTAGCCACTCTGGTTTTGCTGCCATGCCACTGAGCACACGAGGACTCAGGAACATAATGGGGTCCCCTCCTCTTCCTTCTCAATCCTTGTGGAAACACTCAGAGCAGCCTTCTTGACTCTAGCTATCCTCTCTCAGGCAGGAAGTAGAGAAAAGTTGAACAGAAACTTGGCTTGTCCACCTTTAAAGAACAATTACCCATATCCTTCAGGAGGGATACCTTTGTCCAGCCCCAAGATCAGTTGTTCAATATTCAGAACCCATTCCCTGGAAATCCATAAATTCTCCCTCTCCCTCCCTTTCCATCTCCCCCTTTTTCCTTCCTTCTTCTCTTGCTCCCTTTTGAGTCCAGGTTCCTGGCTCCTCCTAATTTGCATTGCATTTTAGAAACAAGGATGCTATTGTCTCTTGAAAAAGGAAGCGTCCTTATTTATGCATCAGCCACCATCTAATGCCTCCCAAGAGTTCACCTGCTGGAAACGCACTAGAAAGGAGGGAGAAAATGGGTTCTGCTGTGTTCCCTCTAAAGAGTGTCAGAAATACACAGTTAATTGCAGGAAAGGCATGGTTGTGATTCAGTCCTAAGGTGCCCAGAGGGCCTAAGGAGCTCCTCTGGACCACTGCTGGTCCCCAGACACTCCTAGAATCGTTGCCTTGTCATCCCATTCCTGCGTGGTTGTCACCATGAAATGATAGCTCAGTGACCTCTTCTCTTGGCCAGGACACCCTAGTGGAATTTGGGTCATTTGACCCTTCCTGCCTGATGCCCACCTGCCCGGACTACTGGACGTACTCGGGATCCCTGACTACCCCGCCACTCTCCGAGTCTGTCACTTGGATTATTAAGAAGCAGCCTGTAGAGGTTGATCATGATCAGGTATGTTCTTTCCATGTTTCTGTATAAAGAAATTCTACTCTGCCCCTTCAAAACAAGGCTGGGCTCAAACTTTGGGATCAGTTTGTAACATCTTAAAATGCTTTTACATTTTTTTAAAATATGCTAACTTCTTGTATAATTTAGATATGAATTAGGACGTGCTTCAAATTACTCAGAAAGAGAAGTTAAAACTTAGGAAACATAAGCTTTATACTCCCATATTTGACAATTACATGTGTTTTATGCATTGTGTATTTTATATATGAATATGATTGTCTATTTATTTAACCAAGACCCTTTTAAAGGGGGGAATGAAAGCTAGATATGGATGTACTTGAAACCTTCTTAAATTTTTATTTTTTTAAAAATATATCTTTATTGATTTCAGAGAGAGGAAAGGAGAGGGAGAGAGAGAGATAGAAACATGAATGATGAGAGAGTCATTGATCAAACCGCAACCTGGGCATGTGCCCTGACCGGGAATCAAACCCTGATCGCCTGGATCCCAGGTCAACGCTCAACTGCTGAGCCACGCTCGGCCGGGCGAAACCTTCTTAAATTTTTTTAAAAATTTTGTTTAAAATATTACAGATGTCCCTTTTTCTCCCCAATGACCGATTCCACCCTATCCCATCCCCCTCCCCAATTCCTCTCCCCACCATTGTCTGTTTCCCTGGGTTGTGCATATATGCATATAATTCTTAATTTTCTTACGGTAATTTTGCTCTGGAATCTCAGGATAAAGACATTATCCAATAATGTCTGTCTAGAAATTTTATTTTAAGTCAGTTCTGAGTTTAGAATTTATTTTTTCCTTAGAAGTGAAGTTTAAGTGGTGCTTATTATGTCGATACACAAAATCTTGTGTAATTCATAATATAAGTAAACTACAGTAATACTTGCTTATGCTTGCTTTATGGGACTTTGATTAATTACAAAGCATTTTTGTTATTGGTGAGGAGCTCTCCTTGTCCCCACCAGTTGCTGGTGGGCTTCTTGCAGTATCACAAGAAAAAGAATTTTCTGAGATTCCCATGGAAGGATGAGATATAGTAGAAGGTTTTGTTGCTGTGGAATTATACCCCTGAATTTCCAAGGTCCCATTTCTCTTAGTCCCATCATAGAAGTATAGCTGTGGCTTCAACAGAGCTAGAATTAAAGCCGTTGCCCTGAGTTCCTGTTCCATGTTGGAGCAGTGTCCAGTCCATCATCAGGATAGCTTAGTTTGTATTCTCAGCTGAAGTCCATTACTCCATTGCATGTGGGGTCCACAGCCATGCAGCTATGGAGGGAACATGGGTGAATGCAAGAGAGTTGCACAAGAGCCAAGAGCACAAGCTCCTTTGTCTAAGGGATTATGTATCCCCCAAATTTTGTGGGCTTGCAGTGGCCTTGCCTGCTCTAGCCAACAATCTCTAGTTGTGATTGAAGTTGGGGTGACTGACAGGCATCTTCCCAACGTCACCCCAACTTCACTGCACATGTGTCCATTCTCCCCTGTGTCCAGTCCCTTCCCCTAGTAATCTGCAGGGGATAGGCTGGTGATTCCCTGGGGAGTGTGAAGTTGCAGTTTCCTGGTAAAGCTTCCCAAATGACATGCCTATGATGTCTGGCCTCCCTTTTGCTCCTTTGCTATTATTAATAACTACCTAATTACAACAATATCATTTTCATAAGAACAGAAGTTTCCAAAATCTTTTTTTATGAAGACAGGATAACTGATAACAATACATATAAAAAATTAGGCCAAAGAAAAGGAAACTACAGACTGATATCTCTGAAGAATATTTTTTTAAAAAAGCTAAAATAACATATTAGAAGCAGAATATTGCAGTACAGTAGAAGAAATGTATACTTTGTGCACGTAGCATTTATTTCAGTAATGTAAGGATGGTTTATTAAGAATGATATTAATATAATTAATCATAGTAATGAATCTAAATAGAAAAATCATTTAATCACTTCCATAGATTCTTTAAGAGCACTGGCAAAATTCATCATTCATTTTTTAAAATTTTCAATAAAATAGGTATGGAGACTTCCCCCACTTGATAACAGATTGATCTCAGTTCTAAAGGAAATAGTTACCATATTAATCTTTATATTTAATTATATTCTAGTAGTAGTCCATATAATTAGACCTGAAAAGAAAAAAAATAGAGAAACAATAGAAAAACCACTACAAAAATAATATAATTCAGTAATTAATGAAGTATAATATTAATTTATAGAAAACAATACATTTGACATATATAAATCACAATCAGTTAAAAGATATAATGATATAAAGATATAAGGGAAGAATAAACAGTACTTATAATGAAAATAAAAATATAAAATACCTTGGCATAAGTTTAACAGGAAAAGTTACAAGGAAAAAGATGAATGAATAAAATTCATACCATGTAATTGAATAGAAAGACATCATAAAGACATCTTCAAAAAAAAAGACATCTTCGATGTCAATTCTCCTTTAGTGTTATTCTCCATGAATTGTTTATTCCCAATACATTTAATGTAGTGCCAATAAATATACCAATAGGATTTTTAAATGGAGATGCTACTCTTAACCTCATGGGGAACACCAAACAAGAATAAATAGCCAGGGAAAATTCTAAAAGAGAAAATGAGGGATGATTAGATCAACAAAATTATAAAGCCTCAATGATTTGTGTGGTACTGACACACAAAGAGATCAATCAAGGGAAGAAAATAGTAAGCTCAGAAATATGTCCAAATACATCTGAGAATGTAGTTTATGAGAAAGGTAGCATGTCGGCTGAGTGCGGGGGGGGGGGGGATGAGGTTGTTCAGTAAATGCTGTTGGGAAACAATTAAGCAGTTATTTAAGGCGAAAGAGGTGGGATCCACCATCCAAACCTTATACAACAATATACTCCAGATACATTAAATGTTAAAAATATCACCATAAAACTACTAGGCTAAGCATAGGAAAATCTTTACATATAGCTGTAAGGGAGGAAAAATAATTTCCAAACTCTACCCTTTTAGGTTTTTGGCTAAAACCTGCTCTCTCCCACCCCCATAAAAGACTTAAAGATTAATAGGAGAAAAACAAACAGAAGTTTAATAACATGGATCACTCCTGTGTACATGCGAGAGACCCAGGAAAACTAAATAACTGCCTGAAATGGCCCAAGCCTCCACCTTGAATACCATCCCCAGCTAAAGACAGATGTTGGAGGGGGGTCAGTTATGGGAGGTGACCGGGAAAAGAAGAAAACCAAGGGTAAGGTTGTCGTGCAGATCCAAGTCCATGCGTTCTCCACTGATAAGAGTTTCTAGAGATTTAGTCACCTCCTCTTCCTGGTATAGATGGGGAGACACCCTTACAAATGGAGATTCCCTTATAAATGTAAATGTCTCTTACAAGAGGGTGACAGAGCTTCTATGTGCCTGCAGTTTCATAAAAATAATCAGCTCAGCCTGGCCGGGCGTGGCTCAGCAGTTGAGCATCTACCTAGGATCCAGGAGATGGCAGTTCAATCCCGGTCAGTCGGGGGCGTGCAGGAGGCAGCCGATCCATGACGATTCTCTCATCTCTTATCATTGATGTTTCTATCTCTCTCTCTCCCTCTCCCTTCTACTCTCTGAAATCAATGAAGATATATTAAAAATAAATAAATAAAATAATAGCTCAACATAATCCTTATGCTAAAAGCATATTTTGGGGTCACAAATTCTGCTCACCTTTATCTCCAAATGGAGGAAGCTTTTCTAACTATATATCATAACCAGAAGTCATAAAGAAAGCAACTAGCAAATTAGACCATATATATTTTTTTACTTCTGTGTGATGAAACCCACTGTAAACAAATGGAAAAATATAGATCTTTATTGCCCCTAAGCCTGGGCTTGGCGGCCTGTACATTTAATCTGCTACTATCCTTCATATTTAAAAATTGACATAACACTGAAAAATAAATAAATAAAATAAAGTGTCCCATATGGAGGACTTTGGAAATAAAATTTCAACAGGGAAAATTCAGTACAAAAAAAATGGTAGAGCTGTCATCTATAATCCTAGTCACCTGTAATCTAACCACTCAGTGTTAATCATTGTTTGGCTAAATCCTTCTGGTTTCTTATCTGTTTAAATATAGGAGTTTTTTCAACAAAATGGAATCATTCTGTATAAACCATTTTGGTGCTCTTTTAATTCGGTGATGTGTGGAACATTTTGTAGATAATAAACATTATCTTCAATATCATTTTTAAGGGGGGTGTACCAGTCCAATTTATAGATCTAATGTAACTTATTGGCATTTGGGCTATTTCTAACCTTTGAAATTTGTCAAGTAAAAATAAACCTTAGTTACTTGGACACATTCATAATCAATGAGGATAATTTATAAGTACAGTAAGTGTTTGGTGCTTTCCTCTGGTCCCAGGCCTGCCTCTGCAGCTCTACTTGGTCTGAAGCCTTTGATTCAGACAAATCGTCACGGGCTTGCCTACTGTGCCACAGGCGGTCCTCCTCCAGGCTGTAGTGCACCTGACTGAATAATGAGAAACCTCCTGAACAGGTTCTCCTGCTGGAAGTCGAGTGTCCACAGCACAGTTGCTCAGAAAGCCGAGGTGCTACTGATGGACTCTATTGTCACATTAATGAACCCTTGGTTTGGGGTTGCTCCTTTTGTACTGAGCTGCTATGTCTAATACATTGGCCACTAGCCCCGTGTGGCCATTTAAATAGAAATAATAACATTAAAATGAAAATTAAAACGTCACTTCTTATTCGCACCGGCCTCGGTTCAGGCGCTCAGTAGCTGTGCCTGCCTCGGCTACCCTAATGAACTGCAGAGGACCGTGCCATCATTTCGGAAAGTCCTTGTCAGTGTCAGCAGGGGGCAGTGCACTGCCTGTTAAGATACCACATGCGCCAACTTGCCGACATTCTCCAGGTGCGGTAAGCAGTTAAGAATATATTGTATTAACAATTCAGTTAAAATTTGAAAAAAGAAAACATGTTTGGCACTGTCACTGCATGCACCAGCCGTTTCATTTTTCACTGTGTGGGCTGCTGTTTTGCCCACTTCAAGATGAGGTTCCTGGAATCAAAGATGAAGTAGCTTGTTCTTGGCAAATGGCTACTATGTGGGGGACAGGGCCTTTGACCCCTCAGTCCTCGGGTCCCAAGGTCACGGTGGTCTCAGGTGGTCTCCGCACGTCCTGCTGCTCCCCCCCCCCCC